TACTTTCCGTACCCACTGTATATACATATATATATATATATATACTTGGATGAATCATTTAGAATAATCTATAACATGCATGTACAAAATAGAGATGTTGAATTTTTATTTTATGCCAACTTTTCCGGAAAAAGGCGGCTGGTACACTCAGCAAAATGCATCTTTTTGTGTTCCATAGAAGAAAGAAACTGGTACAGGTCTGAGATGACAGGACGATATTAAATGCACCAGTTTAATTAACTTGGACATGGTCAGGTCATAGCATCTCCCAGCCACTCAAAGGTCATTCAGTTGCTGTTTACAGTGATGGCTCATGAGAAAGCTGAACTCATTAACACAAGTCATAAACACTCTGCAGGCAGCTCAGTTTAATACTGAATACCCAGATGCTTGACACTAACAACAGTGAAGAAGAGAAAAGTCACAGAAGGTGATCTTTAAACAGGGGGCGCATGAAGCAAAGAGAGCAACCCAGCAGGATGTCACAGGCAGAAAATAGAGGTGCAGGAGGAAATATGCTGGGACATCATGGTGTAAATTAATTCTAAAGGAAGGAACAGTCAGAGCAAACACTGTTGGACGTCCATCTGAAGATAAACCGACACACTGGTGTAAAAGTAATGAGGCAGAAACATGTCGATATAAATCATATGAAACGATGATGATTCATAATGACATTTGTATCTGATTGATTATCTGCATTAGTAGACTAGATGCCGTGGGCAAGTACTCATTATCTAGAGCGTTTTAAAGGCATGAAATTGAATGTTTTGCAGCCGCTGTTCACACAAATGATCTCAGTAACTAATGAAGCACGTGGGGACGACTGACTCAATCGTGCATGATGTGCAGATGAGAGTTCGGAGGTTTGCATACACAGAGATGTCATTTAAACATTAACTGCATATTTGTAATGTGTTATTTCCTGTGGGATGATTAATGCAAAGAAAGGACATAAAAATACACGACAAAAGGCAATAATGCATTGTACCTGTAGGTTGTTGAGTGGGTCCATTTTCATCACGGGGCCGATGGTGTTGAGAGGGAGGGAGATGTCGATGCTCTGGCTGGGCATCAGTGGAGTGTGCATGGCGAGAGGTGTGGTGGGGATCACTCCAAAACTAAAGACACAACAAAAAAAATAAAGACAATAAAACATATGTACATAGTCTCTAATTGCTCAACGTCATGTGTCAGTTACAGGAAAGGCAAATTAACACTTGGCAACAAGATAAAAAATTTAAGTTCCTGGCTATGTGGCCTATAACTTTTAGGATTCAAAAAAACAATTCATGGTTTAAACAGCGAGCTATGTGAAAATAATCATCTAAATCTAATTAGATAATATAATTACAGCAGATATACTGTTAAACTTTGCAGAAAATCATCATCAGAAGTTGTTAGTAATTGATTTTCTTTATTGTTGGTATGGCTAAAATAAATAAATGGAAAAGAATATATAAAAACATTGAATACACAAACTATACAAAATATATAAAAACAGTAACATTGTGAAACATTACAATTTAAAACTGTTTTCTATTTTAATTAATTTTAAAACAATGTATTCCTGTGATGGCAAACATGACCCCTCAGAAAACATTTAAACAAACAGTCAAGAAACATTTCTTATTATTATTAATGTTGAAAACAGTTGTACAGCTTACTAATTTGGTGAAAATTTTTTAGTAATTTTTGATTAATTATTTGAAACGGAAATCTTTAACAACACTATAAATGTCACTTTTGTCCAATCTAATGCAACTTTGCGATGTAAAAATAATAATTTCCTTTAAATCCTACTGACCAAGAATATTTTAAAGGGGTGGTTGATTGCGATTTCACTTTTTTAACGT